TAAGATAAATGGACCAAATTTTTAATTTTACTACCTAAAATAGTGTGATTTATCCTATTTTACCTAAATTCTTATTTTTAATAAAAATCATCAATTTCAATTTGTACCATCAAAAACATGTTTTTTTGTAAAATTGGGGTTTCGTATTTGGATGACATAATTCTTATGCACTATGTATGTAGTTATTTTAAGTGTTGGTACAAACCAACCAACCAACCCACATTACCAACATAGTGGTTAGTACTGGGAATCGCGAACAGTTTTTTATGAGAAAGTATTTTTACATTTGAATTTTTAAGTTAGAAATTGTATGCTTATTTACAAAGACATTTTGTAGCGCTGCCTTAAAAAATTACAAAATTTATAATGGTAGGTATTAAGATATTTTTATAAGATATATTTTTAAGTTATTTTAAAATTTTTTAAATCATAAAAATCTTCAATAAAATTTTATACAATACTAAATTAAATAATGTTACCACCTAAAAGTTTTTTTCCAGTACCTATTTAACAATTTTCTCACCTAAAACAAGAATAAAGTTTACCTATTTAGGTAGGACCATTTTTATAAATAATGCAGCCAAAATCCAATCTCTAATTATTAAGAAATAAAAATAAACTGACAAGTCTTGTACTACAGAAAAAAATCCTTTGATAATATCTTTGCAAAATTTGCATATCAATAAAACTTAGTTAAGAAGTTTATTGATGCGTTATGGGGGTTCTTAAAAAAGTTTAAGAAATAGAGCAAAGTTCTGACATAATGAACAGTGCAAAGTTGTTGAAAAATTGAGCCTAACCGATTTAGTAAAATACAGTTTCTTCTTGGGTACTTGTGCCTTGAATAATAATTTCGTCTTTTTAAACGACTCAATCTTTATTAAATTATCAAATCAATTTTATAAACAAGTTGTTATAAACAAATATATAATTTAAATTATTTTTAGATAATAATAAGTAGAAAAAGTATAGTATGCAACTCGTTTATAAACTCTTCTGGACTCATTTAATCAGGCACCCGCTCGCAAGCTTAAATTAAATTCGTGTCTAAAATAGCGTTTATCAAACTTTATACATAATAAACTATTTTTAACAAAAAAAACTTGTAGGTTTTAAAGAAGTTTGCACGAAAATAATAAGAATTTTTTTTTAATTAATAAAATTCTTCCGGTTTTAATCTTACTGTGTTTCAAAGGCGTATGAAATATCAAAGAAATTTCCCCATTTAATTAAGAATGGCGTGACTGACTCGAATGTTTCAAAATTGATTAGGTATTTTTAACGTTAATTAATAATTATTATAATCTTTAATCAGTAAGGTTAAATTGAATAATAACTTAATTAATAACTATACCATACTTTATTATTTTATTAGAATAGGTCCAAAAATTTCGATGCAATAAATTAAACTCTTTTACGGAGATTGATGATGTTGCTTGTTGGAAAAACTCAATTTAACTTAAAAAAACGTGTAGCGGCTTTTTAGCGGGTTGGCAGTAATTAATTATTTAAATTTTTTAACTTTTTTCCCCGGTCCAAACCGCAGATTCATTAATTCACCGCTTTACAACAGGACCCATTAAAATACATTAAATACGATTAAAATCCATACCAAATACACAGCAAAACGCGAAGGATTGTGATTTGATTATTTTCCATAATTTATTAATAAAATCCATACCCTGTTGCATGACGCTTAGAGTTGTGCAACAGGGTAATAATTTTGATAATAAATTATGGAAAATAATCAAATTACAATCTTCGCGTTTTTCAGTGACGAATAGTTTTGTATTTGGCATGGATTTTATATCGGGTCGTTTAATAAATTCGGGGTCAAAAAATGTAGGTATTAATCATATAAATGGGAGCCATTTTTACTAAAAACATTAAAAGTATAAAAAATTGCTTCTTATTTATTTTGTACGATAATATTTATCCCAAGGCAGACTATATAATTTTCTATGGAATATATAACCACAAAAAACACCGAGGCACGTAGCAGGGCATTAAGTTGACACTTTAATAAAACTGCTTGTTTTTTTACTTTTACTTTGGAAAAACACCATTTTATATAATGGATACATAACAGCGGGACATTTCGTAGATTTTATTTTATTACAAATATAAAAAAACAAATAAATCACTGAATTGTTTTTATTTCAGGTTAATTTTATAGCTTTGTTTTTTCTCAGTCTCCTTAAAATACACGTATATTTGTTGTTTTAGGAGTTTTTATGGATTTTGAACACCATTTTGGAAAATGATCACCACGATAAAAATGTTCTGCATCATAAACAAATAATCAATAAAATAAATTTAATTAAATTGATCATAATCCATAAAAATTGTTTTTAGGGTTTTATGGATTTTGATCACCGGTAGGTATGGAAAATGATCACCACAATAATAAGTTTATTTAAGACACAAATCCTTCAATAAATTATGTTTTATGAAACAATCAATATTTCATAGTGATTATAATCCATAAAACAGCCGACGTTCCTAAAATATTCAGAAGTTTAAGGCATAAACAATCTTAATCAATGGATTTTGATCGTCATTATGGAAAATGATCACCACGATAGAAAGTTTATTTGTAGTCACAAATCTATGAATAAAGTATTATTTAAGCAACGCTAATTTTTTCATGGCGATTATAATCCATAAAAAACTCCAGGCATTAACTTTGTATAAGTATGTCGTTTTAGGAGTTTTTATGGATTTTAATTATCACAATAAAAATGTTCTGTATTTATACCATTAAAATAAATTCGGATTCGATTCTTTCATCATATTGATTATAATCCATAAACACTTGTTTTTTGAATTTTATTCGCCATTATGGAAAATGATCACCACGATAAAAATAAATTTATAAATAAAATATTTTTATGAAACCCTTATTTTTTCATAGTGATTATAATCCATAAAAAGAAGACCAAAATAAATGTTTTGTATTTACATCATTCAAACAAATAGCTTGTTTTATTATAGTGATTATGATCACTATTATGGAAAATGATCGTTTTGATATAGTATATTTTTGGACACGAATCTATAAATACAATATTTTTTATGAAACGCTGGTTTGTCACAGTGATTATAATCCATACAAAAGCAGACGTTTCTAAGATAATAACAAGTAGGTATTTGCCGAGCATAAACTTTGTAATTAAATAATATCGTGATTGACTGGAGCACTTCATGACCTATGTGTTGTTTATGTGCATAAAGTTTAAACTTTGACTAATAATTAGCGAATTATTGCGGTCTATAACTGAAATTTCCAGTTTGAGTTTGTAGTGCAAATTTATTTTGGACGCGTCTTCAAAGGCCGTTTGCCACGTAATTACTTCAATTATGCATCCTTAATATCGTCGTCTTAAACCTACAGCACAAACAGCCCGCACCGGACCTTGAAAGGGCCTAATAAATATGAATAATTCGTGTGAGGCTGGTCAAAATGCTAAAATTAATATTAGCGCAAGATAAGCATGTTTATGGATTTTAATCACCTAATGAATTTTGATCACTTGTGTATTCTAATCATATTTTATGGATTTTAAGCATATTTTTAATTTACCAAAATGGATTTATAACTAACAGCATTTTTATAATAATTAATAAAATCTAGATCGTTATAACAATCCCTAAAATATATGCTTAAAATTCAAAAAATTATGATCAAAATCCATAAACTGATCAAAATCCACATTGCAACGCCACCGTAAACCACTATTGGCATTGTTTGTTTTTACTACTTCTTCTTCTGTCAGTGCTGAGAGGAGGAAAACGTCGATATTCAAATCTGGACAAAGGAGGGCTGGAAAGTTTTTGATTCGTCCCCAATACACAGACACACATTCTATCCAAACAGTTGTTCCAGAGATAAGCCACATCTTCTAAATACAACTGCCAATAAATAAGTAAAATAGATAGCAATAAAGTTTACGTAAACTTGTACAATTTAAACGTGTCAAATTGAGCTGTCTTCAAAGGAAACATTCAATTCCTCGAAAATTGGTTCTCTTGACAATAAGCAACACAAATTATATATAATTTAATATAAGATAATATAAAGTACATACTTCAAAAAGTAAAATAATCGTAATAGTTGCATCTCTACTAAAGACACATTTACTATTATTTTTAAACTGATTATAGTTTATAAAATAATCTTTATAGTAATAAAACAAAACACGCGGCTGTGTAAGGCAGGTACAGTATCCTAATAGTAATTATAGGGCGAAACAAAACTGGTCCTTTGGTAATGTCAACCTTAGCTAGGAAACCAATTAATTCATTGTAATCCCAAGATAAATACAACTTCTGGATGTCATGTTTAACCAATGAAATATACGTCAGCAAGGCGAGGCACTAAGGAGTAGGTAATTTACAAGGCTTTTCATAATAATAGCGAGAAGGAATCTTCAACTACCCTTTAAATAATTTAATATCTATATTAAGAGATTCGACGTCAACAATCCTCCGTTTCTTTGTAATTCGTATAAGTAACAAAACATTCATTAAAATTATTTTTCGGTAAAATTAAATAAAAACCATAAAAAACATTTTTAATAATTATTAATTAAGCATGTGATCAAAATCCATAAAAATCGAAAAAAGAAAAATTGATGCATTTTCAACAAAATAACGAATTACTCCGTACATTGAATTAAAAAGCCGCATTGTTATACGCAAATAAACAGTTATTGTACCCCAAACACGTATAAATTAAGCAAGTGTGTAATAACAAGTCAAAGGGGAGTGGTTTATCATACTGTTGAATCAAAATAATTTGTGCATGCACGAATTTATGCATGGTTATTTAACGGAGTAATTAGAGAGGTCGGCGACGACAAAATATTAATTAAATTAAAACGTTTTTTGCGAATATAAAAAATAATTTATTGTTCACGTAATAGGAATATGATTGGACACTATAAATCAGGCTGACAGTGCGTTAGTTTTAAGTGATTATAATCCACGAAGAAAAAACTTTCGTTATAAAAACAATTTATTATTAAATTTTAAGCAGTAGAAAAATTATTAAAATACATAATTTAGGCTGAAACTTCATTCCCCCAAGGATCTTTTTTGGAGTTTAGTAATTCTACTGAGCTTTCACATAGTTTTACTAGTATTTCTCCAAGTTTCTCCTTTGAATAGACCTGAAAATTTATATTAGAGAAAATATACTTAAAACAAAATATTTCTTACTTTGTAAAGTCCATATTTTTCGGACGCCAAAATATCGGCAAGTTGGACGCATTCCTCGTGCTGCCCAGATTCAAACAGAACCGTGTATAACAATAATACAATTTCTGGTATACACGAAGATCTTAAATATTCAGCATCCTTGGCACCAATAAGCCATCCCTCAGGGAATAATAAAACATTATACAACATGGTTTTTGCAGTTTTGGCTAGATGGTTTGTTGTAAGTTTCCATCTGCAAGTAAACAACAAACCTAGTTACAGTTTTCCAGCAATAAAAACTGTTATTATTATGCCGCGTTTTCAGACAATAAGAAAATAATCCTGTAATCAAAATCCATAAAATAAATCTGGTAATTAATATTTCTTAGAAGCTTTCTTAGAAGCTATTGATCAAAATCCATAAAAATGCGACTAAGTGATAAAAATCCATAAAAATATGAAAAACTGATTAAAACATTTATTTTAAATAAACTCACCTTTCGACTTCCGCTTTGTACTGAGCCACCCGGTGTTGCTGCGCGACTTTTTCCGTGAACTGAGCAGTTTCCGGTAAATCTTCCGGCGCGTTCGGTTTATTCTTGCACTGCATGAACCACTCGTTAAAAGCGTCGCACGCGTTCAAGTACGCCTTGTAGCTCAGATGCTCTTTGACCACCTGCCCGATCTCGCCCTCGCCGCCGCTTTCCGATACTATTTTTTCCACGTAGTCTGACGGAATCTAAGAAAAACAGAAATTTTGTTATTTTTTGGTCAAAATCCACAAAAATGATTAAAATCCATAAAATGATCAAAATCCATAAAACGATCAAAATCCATAAAGCGATCAAAATCCATAAAACAATCAAAATCCATAAAACGATTAAAATCCATAAAACGATCAAAATCCATACAGAGATTAAAATCCATAAAACGATAAAAATCCACAAAACGATCAAAATCCATAAAACGATTAAAATCCATAAAAGGATCAAAATTCATACAGCGAATAAAATCCATAAAACAATCTCCATAAAACGATTAAAATCCATAAAACGATCAAAATCCATAAAACGACTAAAATCCATAAAACGATCAAAATCCATAAAACGATTGAAATCCATAAAACGATCAAAATCCATAAAATGATAAAAATCCATACAAAGATTAAATCCATAAAACGATAAAAATCCACAAAACGATCAAAATCCATAAAACAATCAAAATCCATAAAACGATTAAAATCCATAAAAGGATCAAAATTAATACAGCGATTAAAATCCATAAAACAATCTCCATAAAACGATTAAAATCCATAAAAAACCATCAAAATCCATAAAACGATTAAAATCCATAAAACGATCAAAATCCATAAAACGATAAAAATCCATAAAACGATCAAAATCCATAAAACGATCAAAATCCATACGGAGATTAAAATCCATAAAACGATAAAAATCCACAAAACGATCAAAATCCATAAAACGATCAAAATTCATAAAACGATTAAAATCCATAAAAGGATCAAAATTCAGAGATTAAAATCCATAAAACGATTAATATCCATAAAACGATGAAAATCCATAAAAGGATCAAAATTAATACAGCGATTAAAATCCTTAAAACAATCTCCATAAAACGATTAAAATCCATAAAACCATCAAAATTCATAAAACGATAAAAATCCATAAAACGATCAAAATTTATAAAATGATTAAAATCCATAAAAGGATCAAAATTCAGAGATTAAAATCCATAAAACGATTAATATCCATAAAACGCTAAAAATCCACAAAACGATCAAAATCCATAAAACGATTAATATCCATAAAACGATGAAAATCCATAAAAGGATCAAAATTAATACAGCGATTAAAATCCATAAAACAATCTCCATAAAACGATTAAAATCCATAAAACCATCAAAATTCATAAAACGATAAAAATCCATAAAACGATCAAAATCCATAAAACGATCAAAATTCATAAAACGATTAAAATCCATAAAAGGATCAAAATTCAGAGATTAAAATCCATAAAACGATTAATATCCATAAAACGCTAAAAATCCACAAAACGATCAAAATCCATAAAACGATCAAAATCCATAAAACGATTAAAATCCATGAAAGGATCAAAATTCATACAGCGATTAAAATCCATAAAACAATCAAAATCCATAAAACGATTAAAATCCATAAACCGATCGAAATCCATAATACGATAAAAATCCTTACCTTATTGTAAGCCAATTGCGCTGCATCAATTTTTCCCAAAGTCAGGAACGTGAAAATAAGAGCGTTGCTTTGGTAAAGAGCCTCTACTTTTTGCGTTTCGTAGAAAAGAACCCAGTCCAGAGCGCCAACTTTAAAAGTATCGATATCGGTGATTTTGTGCTGCAAAACAACGATTAAAATCCATATATTTTTTGTTACGTGGTGGTTGTTACCTGTAAGTTTCCAGACCCTTCGACTTCATGGGGTTTGTTTCTTATATTTTCCACCACCTGTTTTGTTATGGATAACACATCCAAACAGCTGTCTTCCGCGTACATTAAAGCTTTCTTCCTCTCCTCGTTTTCTACAATATTTTCCAGATATAACGCGTATATTTGTACTTGATTTGACGGACTTAACTTGCTCACATAATAAGCTATCAACTGCGTTTCCTTCATCAAAGTTAACCGTCTTATGTACCTAAAAGCAATCAATTAACACATGATCATAATCCATAACCACACCTACGCTTCCAATATTTTTTCCACGCTGTGATGAGTCTGCCCGATCTGCTCCAAAAACAAAACCAAATGCGCGGCAAATCTTAAAAACTGCGTGTCCAAATTGGACTCCTCTATCCAGTCCTCCAACTGATTTATCAACTTCGGTATTTCGTCCAGAATTATGTACTTCTGGATTATATGCTCGGGTTTTCTGGACTCTTCCCTCACTTTGACATTCTTGGATGAGTCCAAACTGACGAAAACGTCGTTCAAAGACATCCTTTGAGCCCAGTATTCATCCGATAGGGGAATGTAGCTGTCGTTTCTGACGCAGCAGTCCCGAATCTCGGACTCCACGCGGATGTCTACGATGGACTTCATGTAAGCCCATAAATTGTCCTCCCAGGTTTTGCACACGGGGAGGATGGGCTCAACGTAGCCGCAAAATACGCCTATTGCGGCTCTATCGAACATTTCCAGCCAATCCTAGGAAAAATTAAATAACGATTACATTGTTATGATTAATATACATACAAAATTTTTTTGCGTCTTTTACTTCTTCTGGGATCAAAATTAGTAGGTTTAAATTTATTTACGAATTATAAATCCTAAACAAGGTTTTAAGCTAAGAAATATATTTTTTATATTTTTCAACTTAAGTTCCTTTAAAATTTATGAGTAATTTCCATAATTTTATTAAAAAAATTTCATAATTTCGATTAATCCCTAATTTTGACAATACCATAATTTTGATCAAAATCCATCAATTTTTATCAAAAGCCATATTTTTGACGAAAATCCATAAATATTAATCAAAACCCATATTTATTACCAAAATCCATATTTTTTTATCAAAATTCATATTTTTGACCAAAATTTATGAATTATTGACTATAATCGATAAATTTTGATCATATTCAATTATTGACCAAAATCCATTAATTTTGATCAAAATCCATAATTGTAAGGAAATCTATAATTTTAATCAAAATTCTTAAATTCAACCAAATTTAATAATAACAAAATCTCTAATTTTAATCAAAATCCATAAAGTAACAATTACATTGTTATGATTAATATCCATAAAAAAAATTTGCGTCTTCTACATCTTCTGGGATCAAAATTAGTAGTTTTAAATTTATTTACGAATTATAAATCCTCCTTTTTAATAAAAAATTTCATAATTTCGACTAATCCCTAATTTTGACAATTTCATAATTTTGATCAAAATTCATAGCCATATTTTTGACAAAAATTCATGATTTTAAAAAAAGTTTAACCAAAATCTACGATTTTGAACAAAACCCATAATTTTGACAAAAATCCGTAAATTTTGATCAAAATCCTTATGGATTCAACCAAACTTAATAATAACAAAATCTTTAATTTTAATAATAATCTATAAAGTTGATCAAACTCCATAATTTTGACCAAAATCTATAATTTTGACCAAAATTCATAATTTCAATCAAATCTATAATTTGTACCAAAATCTATAATTTTGAACAAAATCCATAGTTTTGGCCAAAAAACTTCAAACAAAATTTATAATCGTAATTAAAATCCATAATTTTTACCAATATTTTCTTTAATATCGTAATCAATAATTTGATTTGATAATTTTGACCAAAATCCATAAATTTTGATTGACATCCATAATTTCGAACAAAATCCGTATTTTTAATCAAAATGCATTTATTTGACCAAAATCTATAATTTTGAACAAAATCCATGGTTTTGGCCAAAAGCAAAGATTTTAACAAAATTCAATGGTTTCAAACAAAATTTATAATCGTAATTAAAATCCATAATTTTTACCAATACTCTCCACAATATCGTAAAAACCGTGAGATCAAAATCAATAATTTGGCCAAAAATTATAATTTTGACAAAAATCCATAAATTTTGATTAACATCCATAATTTCGAACAAAATCCGTATTTTTAATCAAAATGCATTTATTTGACCAAAATCTATAATTTTGAACAAAATCCTTAGTTTTGGCCAAAAGCCATGATTTTAACAAATTCAATATTAAACAAAATTTATAATCGTAATTAAAATCCATAATTTTTACCAATAATGTCCATAATATCGTAAAAACCGTGAGATCAAAATCAATAATTTGGCCAAAAATTATAATTTTGACCAAAATCCATAAATTTTGATTAACATCCATAATTTCGAACAAAATCTGTATTTTTAATAAAAATCCATTTATTTGACCAAAATCTATAATTTTGAACAAAATCCATAGTTTTGGCCAAAAGCCATGATTTTAACAAAATTTAATGGTTTCAAACAAAATTTTTAATCGTTATTAAAATCCATAATTTTTACCAATACTGTCCACTTTATCGTAAAAACCGTAAAATCAAAATCAATAATTTGATCAAAATCCATAAATTTTGATTAACATCCATAATTTTTAATCAAAATCCATTTATTTGACCAAAATCTATAATTTTGAACAAAATCCATAGTTTTGGCCAAAAGCCATGATTTTAACAAAATTTAATGGTTTCAAACAAAATTTTTAATCGTTATTAAAATCCATAATTTTTACCAATACTGTCCACTGTATCGTAAAAACCGTAAAATCAAAATCAATAATTTGACCAAAATCCATAAATTTTGATTAACATCCATAATTTCGAACAAAATCCGTATTTTTAATCAAAATCCATTTATTAGACCAAAATCTAAAATTTTGATCAAAATCCATAAATTTGATTAAAATCCATAATTTCGATCAAAATCCATAATTTTGATTAAAATCCATAAAAATCGTTAAATATTGAAAAATAAATACCTGCTTGCAGAATTTCATTGCCATGGCCTTCCAAATGTCCCTGTTGAGATTTCCCTCGATTTCCTCGTTTTCTGCGGCCGGCATTTCCTCGTAGCCGTCGTCCACTTCGATGTCTGCGTCTTGGGCGCCATTTTCTTTGATATTTGGGTTGTGGTATAATCTCCAACCTTCGAAAATGGCGGCTTTCCACGAGTGGCCGCATTGTTGACATAACTAAAAAGAATGGGGTTATTTATGGTTTTGGGTGGTGCGATCATAATCCATACTCTTTGGGCTTCTTCGAGTTTTCCGCACCTAATTTCTCTGAATATTCTTCGGCTTAGTCTTTTCTCATCTTCAACATCTAAATCGTGAAGGGGTTTTCTTTGATAATTTGGAGCGTCAGGATCCATTTTATCGACGATTTCTCTACTGGCCCCAAAGGCAATGGTACTGGCCGAATGCAGTTGATGCAAAGTATTCTCCCAACCTGTGGTGCTATCGGAAAAATGTAACACTTCATCGTCTCTATCGGATTCGTTACATTCCAACCAGTCTATAACAAGTTGGCTCTCCCGCACCAAACTGTCACGTTTAAATAAACTCTGTACGCACAGTTTTTCCGATTTTCCAAAATATTGAATGTGGGCGTCGTCATCGTCCATCGCGTTTTGCGAGAAAAGACGGTCTTGATATAAAATAAATATCAAACGCCATGTGTTACGCTCGTTTTCCAGCCACTTTTCTGTATCCAAACTGCTCACTGATACTTTTGACTTCAAACCTTAAAAATGTCATATTTAATCCACCAATATTACAATTAATATGCATTAAAAAGTTACTCATATATTCATCAAAAAGTTAATCAATTTCTTACCCTCGACAATCTTCAAAGCATCTGAAGTACATCTCCCCAAATCAGACACAACTTCCAGTATATCGTGTCCCCCAGAGTGACTTTGTAGAACTTCGAAGAACTCTGTATACAAACTATCGAGAGCATTATTCCAGGGCAAATCAGCCTGTATAACAGACCCCCTTATGGATTTATCTTGTAAAATTGACTCCATAGTGTCGTCGAATGCCATAGTACCTTCCATAAGTTTCCTAAGTTCATATGGATGCAGCGTTAGAGAAATTTCCATGTTGTTAACTGTATCTTTGCGTTTTTTCGAGGTGTTTGTTTTGAATAAACCTCTCCCTGAGGTGGAGAGAGCATCCTCAAGAAGTCTCACTGATCTATCCAAGTTATTATCCATTTTTATTGAGTTTAACTGAAAAACCGGGAATCACACTTTATAACCTAAAAATTACCACAAATTTACACTAAAATAGTCACGCAAACATATTTTAGAACAGTCTCAAAATACGAACGAAGTATTATTTAGGTTCAAAGCATTTTATTTATTACTTTTATATCATAAAATGCAGCAAAATATGAATTCAAACTCCAATCTGTCAAATAAATTTGACATTTATTCGCCCCCTATGTATAAATATCTGTACTACATTACTTATTTACTTAGTTATATTAAAGGTTTCTGTTATAAATTTAAAGGCCGCTTTTAGTAAAGCACTTAAAGTTTAGATGTCTCTTTTTTTTTTAAATTAATGTTTCAGATTTTGTTAATTAATTTGTGTTATAAAAAGTTCTCGGTAAGAAATTTTTAACAAAAGTTGTTACATTTAAGCATTGAGGCGATAATATATGTACATCGATGCGTAAATTGCCGTATTAAGATACGATATCGTTGTTTTTAACGTTTAAAAGGGTTGAACAGTTCAAGAAAGTGTAATGTTCCTGGGTGAGGGACCTTTTCGTTTACAGTTATTTTATTATCGGGCAAATGGCACTCTGATATGTGCAACGAAAAAACTGTTCTTTAAGTGAAATAACCTTTATCAACTTTAAAATGCTTGGTTTAAGAAATATATCTCTTGAAATGTTGTCAAGTCATTGTATAAGGAAATTGCTTATATTATAGCCAAACTCAGTGTTATGAATCATAACTTATGATTCTTCGCCGTGTTGTATATACTATATAGTATATATAAGCTTGCTTTTTTAAGTAGTATATACTATATACTACTTAAAAAAGCAAAGAATTATTGATTGGGGCATTTTGTGTTTTGTCATCTGTAGGTTGACATTTGACATTGTAGGTTAGGTTATGTGGATCAAGTTATTCTAGTGATCTGTAATTTTACAGTTACCTACACTGATTTCGAGCAAAATGATATAGATTGAAGCACTCTTTCCATGTTATTTAATTATTGTACTGCCCTCTATAATATTTTATCTGCTTATAAATATTAAGTCGTTTTTACGGGCTTATGAGTGTTATAATAAGAAAGGAAATTCTTGAAAAAAAAATACTTTTATGAAAAAAAAATTACAACAATTAAAAAAATTACAATTTACCATACATATGTAGCCATAGGACAGTGTGGAGCCGGCTTAAGGCCTAACATTCTCGTGTTTTGTTTACAATGTTGTGAAAGTAATTTTATTCGGGTAGGTCTTTTTCTTCAAAGAGATTTTGTGCGCACTAAGAACTTTCTCCTGGACGCGTTTAAGTACTACGTAGTACTACTGCTGGCTCTCCACTTTCTACACATACATTCACATCCATTATTAGTTTTCCTGACCTAACGCACCTTTGTTTATGTTGGTTGAACAAACTTGGTTCAATAAAAAAATCCTACAATTAATTGAGCAAATAGTTTAAGACGTAGATGAAATAGTGGTCAAATACATTTTTGGTTATAATTTTTATGTACGTGCATTACTATACCTACTTGGAATATGATTATTAAAATCCATAAATTTTGGTAAAAATCTATAATTTTGATTAAAATCCGTGTTCATACTTTTGATCAAAATCCAAACTTTTAATTACCTACTTGGAATATGATTATTAAAATCCATAATTTTGAATAAAATCAATATTTTTGATAAAAATCCATACTTTTGATCAAAATCCATACTTTTGAATAAAATCAATATTTTTGATAAAAATCCATACTTTTAATGAAAATCCATAATTTTTGATAAAAATCCTATATTAACCAAAATCAACAAAAAACCTTATATTTAAAAAAAATGTATTTATTTAAACTCCTTAAACCTGCATAAACAAGTTAGTTTAGGACGTAGATGAAATAGTGGTCAAATACATTTTTGGTTATAATTTTTATGTACGTGCATTACCTACTTGGAATATGATTCTTAAAATCCATACATTTTGGTAAAAATCCATACTTTTGATCAAAATCCATACTTTTGAATAAAATCAATATTTTTGATAAAAATCCATACTTTTAATGAAAATCCATAATTTTTGATAAAAATCCTATATTAACCAAAATCAACAAAAAACCTTATATTTAAAAAAAAATGTATTTATTTAAACTCCTTAAACCTGCATAAACAAGTTAGTTTAGGACGTAGATGAAATAGTGGTCAAATACATTTTTGGTTATAATTTTTATGTACGTGCATTACCTACTTGGAATATGATTCTTAAAATCCATACATTTTGGTAAAAATCCATACTTTTTGCTAAAAATTCAAACTTTTGATCAAAATCCAAACTTTTGATTACCTACTTGGAATATGATTATTAAAATCCATATATTTTGGTAAAAATCCACAATTTTGAATAAAATCAATATTTTTGATAAAAATCCATACTTTTGATCAAAATTCATACTTTTGAAAAAAATCAATATTTTTGATAAAAATTTATACTTTTAATAAAAATCCATAATTTTTGATAAAAATCCTATTTAACCAAAATCAACAAAAAACCTTACATTAAAAAAAAATGTATTTATTTAAACTCCTTAATTCTGCATAAACAAAAATTCACGAAGCAACTAAAAAGGATTTTATCAATATCCTATTTTAACAAAAATCCATACTTTTGATCCAAATCCATACTTTTTTGTTTTAAAATCCACATTTTTCATTTAAATCCATACTTTTGATGAAAATCCATAATTTTTGATAAAAATCCTATATTAATATACATATATTTAATTAAAAAATGTATTTATCTAAAATCCTTTATCCTATATAAACAAAAACTCATGAAGCAACTAAAAAGGATTTCATCAAAATCCTATTTTATCAATAATCCATACTCTTTAATTTTGATTAAAATCCATGTTTTGATAAAAATCCATACTTTTGATAAAAATCCATATTTTTGATAAAAATCCATTCTTTTTATTAAAATCTATATTTTTGATAAAAATCCATACTTTTAATGAAAATCCATACTTTTTGATAAAAATCCTATATTAACCAAAATAAAAAAAAATGTATTTATTTAAACTCCTTTATCCTGTATAAACAAAAATTCACAAAGCAACTTAAAAAAAATCCAATTTTAACAAAAATTTTGATCAAAATCCATACTTTTGATCAAAATTCATACTTTTGATTAAAATCCATATTTTTGATAAAAATCCATACGTTTGATTAAAATCCATACTTTTTGATAAAAATCCAAACCTTATATTTCTAATCAAAAAATGTATTTATTCAAACTCCTTTATCCTGTATAAACAAAAATTCATGAACAACTAAAAAAGATTTTATCAAAATAATATTTCAACAAAAATCCATACGTTTGATTAAAATCCATACTTTTTGATAAAAATCCAAACCTTATATTTCCAATCAAAAAATGTATTTATTTAAACTCCTTTAACCTGTATAAACAAAAATTCATGAACAACTAAAAAAGATTTTATCAAAATCATATTTCAACAAAAATCCATACTTTTGATTAAAATCCATACTTTTGATCAAAATCCATACCTATGATTAAAATCCATACTTTTGTTAAAAATCCATAACTTTTGATAAAAAAACTATATTAACCAAAATCAACAAAACAACCTTATATTTTTAATCAAAAAATGTATTTATTTAAACTCCTTTATTCTGTATAGGTAAACGAAAATGCATGAAGAAACTAAAAAGCCGAAAAATTCTTTCCCATTTTGGTCATGCCCTGAGCATCGGTTTTTGTTTTTGTGTATGCGCGGCAGCCGCCCAATTGGAATTTGAATTTGGCCGAACGCCAAATGAGCACCATTTATAGATTTCGTAGTTTTTGAAATAGGTACCGCAAAAGGGGTAAAAAGCGGCCGTTTCGGCTCGCGCGTGCTGCGAAATTTTGTATTATAATAATTCTTTGACGGGGCATGTTTTATTCAACACTACCTCGAGAGTGAATCTTGTTTTTTTTAGGTTTCGATTGTAGGTATATGGCCACGTGCGCAAGTTTTACTTTTTTTTTAATACGGCCCAAAATGGGCACACCAAAACTTGGTATTTCTATTTTTTATTTTTTTAGTATTAACCAACCAAAAAAGCATGGGTACCTGAATAAATTTGGAGGTACCATAAAATGAAGATTCTAGATATCCATGTTTTTGTTTTTTCCCTCGCCATTTTTTGAAAGTCGCCATTAAATTATCAAAGTGGACTTTTTTTCGTTTTTGCCTCATTTCAAATTTGGTTTTAGACGGGTCGTATAAAATCAGATCACGAATCATGCGCCTACCAAACGAAACGAATCTAGTATAGTAGTAGGCATTGCATTTTATACCCGTTGTGGTTCTCGGAAACAGCAATTAAAATGAAAATATCGGTATTGTGCTCTATATGGACTTAAATCGAAGTCCCAGACTGTTTTTTATGTGCTTTGATCGCGTTTGAGACTAATTTATTTTTAAAATTGTTTAGGATTTTTCCAGGGTATTTTATGGATATATTCCAAACTCATATATTTAGCATACGTGTGCTGTTGGTAGTATCTATTTCCTGACTTGAAAGTAGTAATTACAAAGCTAACTGAAAAAATACAAAAAAGTCTCTTTTCATTTTAAAAAAGTATGACTAACAACAAAAGTAGGTACACTGAAAAAAAATTGTTAAATTAACCAATAAATGGTTAAATCAACAGTTTTTGCAAATTCAATAGAAACCATGTTTACTTGAAGTTAAAAGAACCATTCATGAATGTTAAAATATAAATGTTGTTTTAAAAAATTAAAATTAAATTAAAATTTCAGAAACTTATTTTAACCTTTAAACCTTTTTTGATACAACCACTAAAAATATTAAAATAAAATACACGGATTAAAATAATATTATCGTCATTTTTAATCAAATTATTAAAAATTTTATTTAATGCACAATTACTAGTGAAATAATAAACATGGAAGCAGTTTAAATCTTTAAAATTACTTGTATTAATAAATTTAAAGGTTAAAAAAATTAATTGTTACTTAAATCAAATAATTAAAATATTGATTCCAAAAATTTTACTGAAAATAGTATATTATTA